GATGTGAGGTCCTTTGTGTAAACTCAGGGCTGGACACTTCACACAGCCCACGGGAGCCTAAAACTTGGACGTCAGCATCCCTGATACACAGAGGAGAAAAATGACGCCCAGAGGTGTGCAAGCCACCTGCGACCACAGCACCATCCAGGAGCTGGGACTCCTACCCAGGGCTCTGAGCCCCAGACCTGTGTCCCCGAGGGCGCCATTAGCCTCTCTGGGCCTCTAGTTCTTCCTCTTTAAAACGAGATAATAATCTCTTTCCTGGCCCCTTCGTATGGGTTTGTTGAGGGTCAAGTAGGATTACATATGAATAATTACTTAATTCAACAAAGGATACCGAGATACAAGTAGCAGAAGGCTAACAGACTCAGATAGGATTCCTGTTTCAGGAAGGATTCCTACCTAGAACACACAAAGGGCTCCCGCGGATTAGCAAGAAGAGAGAGAGAACCCAATTGACCAATGGGCCGAGGGTATGAATAGTCATTCACAGAAGAGGAAGCCTGGGTAACTCACAAGTCCGTGAAGAGATGCCCCACTTCACCAGGGATCAGAGCGAGGCAGCTGGAATCAGCAGGGAGCCACCACTTTCCGTCAATTAGATTGGCCAACATTAAAAGGGTCGTATCAAGCATTTGAAAAGATAAGAGGAAACACCGTGTATGAACGGGTACTCCTAGTCTTTTGGGAAGGCACTCTGAGGTACTTTATGAAATGAAGAATGTTCGTAGCCTGTGGCTCAACAATCTCATTGCAGGATATACCTCGAGGAAAAAAAAAACCAAACAGACAGGAACATATATGCAGATGTTTACAGCAGCACTGTTTATAAGTAACATGGAGTCAGAATCAAGCCAGGTGACCATCGAATAGGGGAACAGACAAGTAAATGTTCCTTGTGAAAATCTCTCCAGTACACGTAGCCATGAACTAGAAAAACCTAAAGCAAGATGGGGAGATTTTGAGAAACAGTGTCGACCAAAACAACAATAATAATTAATACTAATAATTTAATTTAAAAGCCAAAAATTGAGGCCAGGCAAGATGGCTCACCACCTGTAATCCCTGGACTTTGGAGGGCCGAGGCAGGAGAATCACTTGAGCTCAGAGTTCGAGACCAGCCTGCCAACACAGTGAAACCCCATCAGTACCAAAAATAAAAAAAATTGGCTCGGGTGGCAGCACACACCTGTAATCCAGCTACTCGGGGGCTGAGGTAGGCAGGATCTCTTCAGCCCTGGGAGGCACGAGGTTGCAGTGAGCCAAGACTGTACCACTGCACTCCAGTCGGTGATAGAGTGAGATTCCATCTAAAAAAAAAAAAAAAAAAAAAATCCCAAAGATCAGACAAAATCAATAGCAGGATCTCATTTATAGGAAAACACACATATAAGCTATTACTATATATTTCCCAAATCAACATACATATCTATGAGTGTATATCACACACATTAAAGAGATGAGCGGAAAACAATGAGGACAAAAATAATATAAAACAAAGCACAGGGCGGGCGCGATGGTTCATGCCTGCAATCCCAACGCATTGGGAGGCCAAGACAGCAGATCTCTTGAGAATCACGAGTTCGAGACCAGCCTGGTCAACATGGTGAAACCCCATCCTCTTACTAAAAGTAACGAAAATTAGCCAGGCGTAGTGGCGTGCACCTGTAATCCCAGCTACTCAGGAGGTTGAGGCAGAAGAATCGCTTGAACCCAGGAGGCGGAGGTTGTAGTGAGCCGACGATGGCACCACTGCAATCCAACGTGGTGGACAGAGCAAGACTACATCTCCAAAAAAAAAAGAGAGAATTTTAAGTTAAAAAAAGACAAAAAGGAAGAAAGGGAGAGAAGAAAGAGAAATGAAGAAAGGAAGGGAGGGAGCAACTTTCTAAAGTGCATTTTAGACCTAGAAAATTCTCTCAGAATTCACCCTAGTCTGACCTACATCTCTATTATTCTAGTAGATGGGAAAACTGAGGCACAGAAACGGGGAGAAGAGACGTCGAGAATAATAGGAGTAAAGGCCATAGAAGAGGGACCAGGCAGTCCATGAACATGAAAAAATGAACTTTTCAATTTGAACAAGGATATGAAGGGACAAGAAATCAATTCCTGCATCAGGTGAGGTGGTGTGGGAGCTCCCCAAGTACCCTGAGGGGAGGAGAAGGGGTGAGATGTCCGGCTAGGAGGAGTGGGATGTGTGAGTTCTTACGCAGCAGCATGAGTTGAAGGATGCTGGGCTGGGCGCGGTGGCTCATGCCTGTAATTCCAGCACTTTGGGAGGCCAAGGTGGGCGGATCACCTGAGGTCAGGAGTTCAAGACCAGCCTGGTCAACATGGTGAAACCCCGTCTCTACTAAGAATACAAAAATTAGCCGGATGTTGTGGCACACGCCTGTAATCTCAGCTACTTGGGAGACGGAGGCAGGAGAATTGCTTGAACCTGGGAGGCAGAGGTTGCAGTGAGCCGAGATTGCGCCATTGCACTCCAGCCGGGGCAACAAGAGCAAAACTCCATCTCAAAGAAAAAAAAAGGTAAAGGATGCTTCCCGTCACTGAGCAAAGGGTGCAGGTGCTCTCTGAAGCAGTCATTGCAGGGAACATGGTGGTCTACATCCACAAGGGAAGTGTGATGGCCCTTCTGGGACAATGTAGGGTGCCTGGCATCCTCTTTTGGCTATGAATAGTTTAGAACATCCTGACTCTTGACTACTCCAAACTATGACATATACCATCTGGAAAAGCACAGGGGAAGGGTCGCCCCCACATTTTGCACTTGCAGCCAGCGGAGCTGGGGATGGCTTTTGATGGGCAGTGGTAAGTGTGAGATATTTCTCTGAGATAATGAAGATTGTGAGATGTCCTCTGAGGGGTTGGGTTTATGAGATGATGTTAATGGCCCTGTTAGAAGACTGACGTCCTTTCTGATCAATGGAGGGGACGGCGAGGGATGTGAGGAACCCCAGACAGTGTGGTGAGAAGGGATGGGTCACCCCCTCCATTGCCCCACGACCTCTGGGATCTCTTGCTGGACTAGTGAGATGTGATATAATGCAGTTGTTGAGAAGAGAGGCAACCGAGCTTCAAATTCCATCTGACTAGCCTGGGTGCATAGACCGAACCACCGAGATTTCTGGCTCCTCATTTTTCTCTTCCCTAGAATAGAAGTGCTAATAACCACTCATAGGCTAGCTATGACGCTTAATGAGTTAATGTACATAAAACACTGAGATCAGAACCAGGCATTACATCAGCATCTAATATTCTTATTACTGGGGCCTCCCATTTTGCAAAAGTTTGGGATCATCCTTGATGAGACCCCGAGGGGCCAGGGATAGCCCATCTGCAGAAATAAAATGATTAAGGCTAGCCCATCTGGACACCACGTGGGTAGCTCAGACAGGCATCCGCATGTCCTATCGAGGGCTTGGGACATCCTATTTTGCACTCTACACATATAAGGTATCACACCTGGAGAAGTAAGGGACAAGGGAAATCTCAAATGGAGCCCAGAAAAATAGGCCATATTCTTTGAGGGGCACTGGGATGACAGCACCTTCTTTGGAGACTGAAGAGTGTTGGAGATCTCATATGGGTGATCAAATATATGACAGCCCAAACAGACTCTGAGGAGCGCCAGGTATTTTCCACGGGTCAGTGGAGGTAGAACGAGATTTCATCCAGTTCCCCAGGGGTATAGAATGTCCCCCTGGTATAAGTACAAGCCGTGGCCTGTCGTGTCAGGAAGGTATGGGACAGCTCCCTGCCATGTCCAGGGATAAAACAGCCATGATTTGGGAAAGGAGGGAGTATGGGAGTGTCTCTCGGAGAAAATGAGAAACGCTGAAATGTCCAATCTGGGCATTTGGAGGCGAGAGGACAGGAAGTGAAGAACATTGCAGGGAAGGAACAAGGTCTGCCCTTGGGTGTTGGGAGGTGTCTGCTGAGAGCTTGGTTTGGTGGAAGCAGTAGGTGGGGAACAGGCATAGATCCTGCTTTGGGGTGGGCGTCTGTCTCCCCAGGGCTCATAGGATGGGAGCGCAAGCTGTCTCCAGGCTGGGAAGAGGAAGCTGACACCAGAAACCCAGGCTGTCTCTCCATGGGCACAGGCTGTCTGTGGGCAATGCAGAGTGGGCACAGGCTGTCTCCAGGGCGCAGGCATTTGCAGAGGGTGCAGGCTGGGGTGGGCACAGGCTGTCTGAGGACACCAGCTGTGTCTGGAATCACAGGCTGGGTCTGGGGACACAGGCAAGGTTTTTCTAGGGACACAGGCTCTCTCTGGAGCTATAGGCTGGTCTGGGGGGACCCAGCGATGCCTAAGAACATTGGCTGTGCGGGGTCAGGGGCTTTGGGGGTCATAGAATGATCTGGGACCATAGCCTGGTGTGGAGGTGCAGGCTGATATGAGGGCACAGGCTGGTGTAAGGATGCAGGCTGGTCTCGGGGTATAGACTGGTCTAGGGGTGCATGTTAGTCTGGGGGTGGAAACTGTAGCTGGAGACCCAGGCTGATCTGGGGGTATAGGATAGTTGGGGTACAGGATGGTCTTGGGGCACAGGCTGTAGGCAGGGACACAGGCTCTCTTTAGAGGCGTCCAATAGGGGTACAGTCTCATCTGGGGGGTCTCAGGTCACAGCCTGGTCAGGGAGTACAGGATGGCCTGGGGGCATAGACTCCTTGGAGGTACATTCTGGTCTTGGGGTACAGTCTGTAGCAGGAAAGCAAGCTCTAAGGCACAGGTTCTCTGGGGGTAGGCCAGTGAGGGACCTAGGCCATGTCTGGGGGCTCTCTCTCAGCAGTTTCCGGGAGCAGAGGACGATGTGGGCACGGGCGCTTACAGGGATACAAGCTCTCTCCTCCGGGCTCAGGCTTTCGTCCCTGGGGCGGGTTTTCTCCACGGACACGGGCCCCTCTCCCTCCCTGTCCACGGGACGCAAGCCCTGGGCTCGGGGCGGCGGCTGCTCACCTCCGGGCAGCTCCGCGGGGCCGCAGGTGTCCCTGTCCGCGGGCACGTCCGCCTGCCACAGCCGCTTGGTGCACACCTTCCACAGCCCCAGGTGGGCCGCTTCGCACACGGCGCTGCCGTTGGCCTTGTAGGTGTTGAGCTCCACCCAGAACTCGGTGCCCACGGACAGCACCGCCAGCGTGGCGCCCACGGCGGCCAGCAGCAGCGCCAGCTTCACCTTCCCCTCGCGCTCAGGCGTCAGCCCCGGCCTGCACCGCCCGTGCGCCCGCCGCCGGCCCGCGGCCCCCCGCCGCCGGTTCTCCTCTTGCAGGAAGAAGTTGGACCACATCATCATCTTATGGCCGGTGGGGTGGAGAAGAGGGAGGAGGCAGAGCCGAGGAGGGGCCTCGAGGGGCGGAAGCGAGGAGCGGCCTGGGGTCTCGAAGGGGGTGAGGGACTCAGTTTCCCCTGGGTATGAAAAAGGGGAGTCCTCTCTGGAACCTCAAATGGGAAAGTCGAGATTGCTTCTGGGGTTCAGAGGGAAAAAAAAGATCCCCGGGGCTGGGGAAGCCTCTGGGGTTCAGAGGAGGGTCTAGGTTGCCCTCAAGAACTTGGCAAAGAGGATGGGGCCCAGAGGAAAAGCAAGGCCCCCGCCCCGAGGCTTAGAGATAGAATCTGGGTTCCCAGGAGGGGGTCCCCCCCCAAGAACTCCAGAGGAATGAGAACTGGTGTCCGCTGAAGCTCCCTGCAGCTCCGAGGCGCTGCTTTGGCGTCCCCGCTGGGGGGCTGACAAAAGGGAAACCGGTTTTCCTGAGAGATCTGAGCACCCCAGTAGGGCTAAGAGTTTGGGGTACTCAGGAAGGGACCTGGAGTCCTCTGTGTGTTTGGAGGAGATGTGGCCGGGGTACCTTTGGGCTCAGAGTTTGGGAAGAGAGGACTTGGGGACCCTCTGGGATTCGGAAAAGGAAGACCTGGGGTCCCGGGAAGCTCCTAAGGGGAGGTCGGAATTCCCTCCTGGTCTCAGAGAGGCGGTGGGACCCCGGCATCCACAGAAGGAGAAGAGCAGAGCCCCGGCTGGAGCTCAGAGGAGGACTGGGCCCCGCTGGAATTCAGGAAAAGGGGATGGGGGTGTCCCCTGCCATTCAGAAAAGATTAGAGGTCTCTACTGAGCCTGGGAAAGGGGCCGGTGGCTGGAAGACAGAGTGGAGTCCAGAGACGGAGGCTGCTGGGCCTCCAAGAGGGCTGGGGCGGAGGGGACCCGGGGTCCCCCCTGGGGCTCACACTAAGGGGCTGTGGTCCGCACCGCGGCTCAGAAAACCAGGACTGTGTCCCCGCAGGGTCCAAAGGCCAACCGCGACCCGAAAGAGACGCTGCGCCCCTTCGGGATCAGTCCGTCCCCCTCCCCCGGGCTCCCACGGCCTTCCCGGTCGGGTCCGCGCCAGGCTCAGCTCCAGGCTAGGGCTCCCCCTCGGGGCTCCCACCCCCGACTCCCGAGCAGGGGCCCCTGTCGCTCTCCTGCCTCGGCCCCGCGCCGACCCCAGCTCCGCGCTGCCTCCGAAGCGTCCGGCTGTGCCCGCCACCGCCACCGGCCTGGCCTCCGCCCGCGCCCAGCCTCGTCCCCACCCGCCCACCCCCCACTCTGCACCCTCTACCCTCCACCCTCAGGGCTATTTCGGGCTTGACCCGTAAATAACACCCGCACCTGTCGCCCGGCGCCTGTTGCCATAGGGATCCCGGGTATTTTAAGGGGACGAGGAAGGGGGGAGGGAAGCCGCCCGGGGAGGAAGGGGACGAGCCTGATGGGACTTTCATTTCACTAAGGGGCAAGAGCGGCGCTGAGTCCCAGCTCCCCAATCTCCCGGGCAGCAGGAGACAGACGGGGCAGCAGGCCTGACTGGGGTTACGGGGAGGAGAGGTGGAGGCAGGACCCCGGGTTTCAGGGAGGAGGGACTGAGGCCAGGAGTCTTGGGTCTCTGAGGGAGAAGAAGCCTCGGTACTCTAACTTCTGAGTGGCAGAGGAAGGGGGCCTGAGGACCCAGAATCCTGGATCTGAGACGAGAGGAACTTGGTCTCCTGGGTCCTGGACCCCTGGGTCTGAGGGAGGAGGGGCTGGGGGCCTGGACGCCTGGGTCTGAGGGAGGAGGAGCTGGGGGCCTGGACGCCTGGGTCTGAGGGAGGAGGAGCTGGGCCTGGACGCCTGGGTCTGAGGGAGGAGGAGCTGGGCCTGGACTCCTGGGTCTGAGGGAGGAGGGGCTGGGGCCTGGACTCCTGATCAAGGGGTTGGCAGACCCAGACTCCTGGACCTGGAGGAGGAGACTGAGGCCAGAACCCTGGGTCTTGAAGGATAGAAGGACTGATTCCCATGTTGGAGAAAGCACAGGCCTCAGCGGGGACCGGCTGTCAGGGACACAGAATGACGGCGGCACTCCTCTTCATCGAGTTTATTAGACGGGGCACCCCTGGAGGACCTTCCATGCAGTTTCAGCTCCCCCAGGGGCAGGGACAGAGGACAGCCGTGTGGCATGGCAGCAGGGCCTGATCTTCAACCCCTTGCCCCCTACCCCTCAGCCCTTCTGTGCATGGCCCAGGTGGGGCCCATCTTTCACCAACTCCTTCTCCCACAGTTGGCTGCTCCAGGCAGGCCTGGTGCCGACCTGAGCAAGGCCCTGGTGCACGCTGGGCCTCTCTGCCCACCCTCTGCTCTGGACGTTTCCGATGGAGCACGCGTTTCCCCGCAACATGATTGTCTGTGTCTGGTTCTTCCAGCAGACTGGGGCCGGGGCCAGGCACAGGAGGAATTCACCTTCACCTTGGCATCCTCAGCTCTACCCAGCACAGGGCCAGGCCACAGGCAGCCTTGGAAAATGTGCATGAGGTGACTCGAATGAATGGATAGATGAATGAGCAAAGGAATGAGCAGATGGAGTGAGATGATGGCACACAGACATCCCCATCCCAGCCAGGGGAGGGGCCCGCTGTGTTTCCTCAATGCCTGCGTGGCCCCGTCAGAACACAGCCCCCTCTGTCCTCTAATTGTCTGGACTACCTGTTCCCCCTCCAAGGGCAGAGATGGGACAGAAGTGGCTCTGAGATCGCAGGGCCTGGTACTTGGAAGTCCTCAGGAAATATTTTTTTCTTTTTATTGATCATCCCTTGACACTGTGTATGCTTCTGAGTCTCCACGTTGCTTTTTGTGTGAATCTCTGAGTCTGTCTCCAGCTTACCTCTCCCTGCCTCTGTGATTGTGTTTCGTTACCTCTGGCACTTCTCTGATTTGTGTACCTGTCAGTCTCTCTCCTCCTCCTTTTCTCTCTTCTCTGTATCACCTTCTCGTCTTTGACTTTATTTCTTTGACTCCTTCTTCCTTCCTTCCTCTTTTTTTTTTTTTTTTCTGAGACAGGGTCTTGCTCTGTGGCCCAGCCTGAAGTGCAATGGTGCAATCATAGCTCACTGCAACCTTAAACTCCTGGGCTCAAGCAATCCTCCCGCCTCAGCCTCCCGAGTATCTAGGACTACAGGCGTGAGCTACCACACTGCAGCTATTTTTTTATTTTTGTAGAGATGGGGCCTCACTATATTGCCCAGGCTGGTCTCAAACGCCAAGCCTCAAGCAATCCTCCTGTCTTGGCCTCCCAAAGTGCTGGGATGACAGGCATGAGCCACCATGCCTCGCCAGGAAGTATTTCCAAGAACTGAATGAATGTTTATTTCTGAAAATGAATGATGAAAGCCTGTTCGTCCCCTTCAGCTCGCTAGGTCTTGACCGGGTCTACGGGGGGAATCCCAGAGTGTGCCCGGCGCTGACAGCAGCAAGAGACAGGAGCCGGGCAGAGCAGCCCTGGCTAGGGAATCTGCCAGAGGCTAGCTGACAGCATCCCCTCTTCCCTGCCCCCTGAATTCATCTTCCCCTACTGACCCTGGGCCTCCCCATCTCTCTTGCTCCTGCCTGCTACGACAGCTAATTGCAGGGTGCATTTTTCTGCCTGCCATCTCCCTGTCTGCATGTCTCCCTATTTCCTTTCAGTGTCTTTTTTTTTGCTCTTTTTCTTTTTTTGAGACAGAGTCTTGCTCTGTCACCCAGGCTAGAGTACAGTGGTGTGATCTTGGCTCACTGCAACCTCTACCTCCCAGGCCCAAGCGATTCTCCTGCTTCGGCCTCTCAAGTAGCTGGAATTACAGGCGTGCACCACTGCGCCTGGGTAATTTCTGTATTTTTAGTAGAGACAGGGTTTCACCATATTGACCAGGCTGGTCTCGAACGCCTGACCTCAAGTGATCCACCCACTTCGGCCTCCCAAAGTGCTGGGATTACACACGTGAGCCATCGCACCTGGCCTTTGTGTCAGTTACACACACACACACAAACACACAAAATTGCCTGAATTCCCGTTCCTTCTGTCTTCCCCCCAAATTCTCTCTCCCCTCCACTCCAGCAGGGCTTCCGTCCCCGCCACTGCACTGAACTGACATCTTGTCAAGATCACCAACCCCATCCATGTCATCAAACCTCATGGTCACTCCGCTTTCTAGATCCTTCTCCGATTCTCAGCAGCCCTTGGCACAGCTGGCTGTCTCCTTCCCTTCTTGAAACACAAAGGTGCATTTGCCCTCTGTGACCCTCCTGGTTTCAGCCCACCTCGAGATCACTCCTAAGCTCGCTTTGCTACATCCCCTTCTCCTCAAGATGTAGATGTCCCCAAGGCTCTGGCCAGGGTCATTTCTCTGTCCCCACCCACCTGCTAGGCCACGTCACCCAGTCCTGTGGCTTTAAATGTCCCCTATATGTTGACGTTTCCAAAACTTACATTTTTGAGCCGTGACCTCTCTTTCCCCCAGACTCCAGTCTCACATATCCAACCGGCTATTTGATACCCCAACTCGGATTTCTCAAAGGCATCTCTATCTTGACACATCCAAAAGAGAAGCCTTGGTTTCTCCCTCCCAAAGCCGCTTTCCTGATCCCAGTCTCCCCGTTCCTGGTAACAATCCTCATCGGCGCCCATCAGAGATGCGCATGCCCAATTCCAAGAGTTCTTTTCTTCCTGGTTCCTTCTCCTTCCCTCCTCTATGACATCCAGTTCACCACCACTGCAGGCTCTGCCTCCAAAATCCCATGCCTTCTTCCACTTCCTCTATCCCACTAACTGCACCTTGGTCCAGGCCTCCAGCAGCCTTAACCAGAGGAAAGCAACAGCCGGCTACCTCCTTCCTTCCACTTTGACTCCTGAAGTCTACGTGTGCTCAGCCCAGCAATGTAACTCTGCTGTTCTTGTTTCAATAAAAATATGAGGCCGGGCGCAGTGACTCACGCCTATAATCCCAGCATTTTGGGAGGCCGAGGCAGGTGGATCGTTTGAAGCCGGAAATTTGAGATTGGCCTGGCCAACATGGTGAAATCCCGTCTCTACTAAAAATACAAAAACATTAGCCGGGCGTGGTGGCACATGCCTGTAATCCCAGCCACTCAGGAGGCTGAGGCAGGAGAATCACTTGAACTCGGGAGGCGGAGGTTGGCAGTGAGCCGAGATCGGCCCACTGGACTCCAGCCTGAGACAGAGCAAGACTCTTTTTCAAAATAAATATAAATAAATAAATAAAAATATGATCATGGCATGCCTGTGCTCAACACCCTCCAAGGACTTCCCATCAGCTCTAGAATAAAATTCAGATTTCTTCCCAGGCATCCAAGGCCCTAACTGATCAGCCCCTACCCTGGGCCTCTGTCCTATCATGGATGTGCTCACCGCACCGGCCCCCTTGAAGACCTGCTACTCTTCCGGGCTTTGGGGCTGCTTCCGGTGGACAGAATGCCTGGACCCCAGACTTTCTCACCTCTCTTTCCTTCTCACAATCCACGCCTCTGTGACCTCTGCCACAAGGTCTTCTCCAAGTACCTCATCTAAAGTCGTCCTTGCTCTGTCATTCTGTTACCACTCACTGTCGCCCAGGCTGGAGTGCAGTGGCGCGATCTCGGCTTACTGAAACATCTGCCTCGCGGGTTCAAGTGATTCTTCTTTCTCAGCCTCCCAAGTAGCTGGGACTACAGGCACACCACCACACCCAGCTAATTTATTTATTTATTTATTTTCTAGTAGAGATGGAGTTTCACCATGTCGACCAGGCTGGTCTCGAACTCCTGACCTAAAGTGATCCACCAGCCTCGGCCTCCCAAAGTGCTGGGATTACAGGCCTGAGCCGCTGCATCCGGCCTTCTGCTTAATTTTTAAAGCACTTTTTGGTTACTGAAATGATATGATTTATTGTTTATCTCTCCGGTGAGTATCAGGAGAGCAGGCCCTTGTCCGTCTATTTGTCACCACATCCCCTGGGCCTAGATTGGGTCTAGAACAGGTTGGCACTCAAGTATTTGTTGAATACTGGGAAAACAACACACCAGAAATGGAGCATTCCTTGACGCTGTGCTTGCTTCTGAGTCTCCGTGTTGCTTTTTGTGCGAATCTCTGTCTCCAGCTTACCTCTCCATCACCATCTCTGTGGTCGTGTTGTCGTGTTTTTGTCACCTCTGGGACTTTTCTGATTTGTGCACCTGTCAGTCTCTCTCCTCTTCTCTCTTCTCTGTATCACCTTCCTGGCTTTGACTTTTTCTCTGTCTGTGACTCTACTAGTTTTGGTCTCTCCTTCCCTCCCCCTCCCTCCCCATCTTGCTCTTCCTCGTGCCCAACCTCCACCTCATTCTTGTTTTGTTTAGCCTTGGGACTCTAGAACCCACTCTCCCCTAACCAGTTCTCTCTCCCTCTTCCAGCAAATATTTGCTGTCTCTCTTTTTTTCTTTCCTTTTTTTTTTTTTTTTTTTTGAGACAGAGTCTTGCTCTTTCACCCAGGCTGGAGTACAGTGGTGCCATCACGGGTCACTGCAGTCTCACCCTCCCAGGCCCAAGCGAGATCCTTTCGCCTCAGCCTCCTGAGTAGCCGGGACTACAGGCGTGCACCACTACACTCGGCTAATTTTTGTGGAGACAAGATCTCAATATGTTGGCTGGTCTGGAACTCCTGAGCTTAATCCGCCTGCCTCATCCACCTGCCTCAGCCTCCCAAAGTGCTGGGATTAGGAGCCACTGCACCCAGCCAGATCTGTCCTTTTAACACCCGCTCTGGCATTCCTCTTCTCTCCATCTATCCTTCTCTCTCACTCAGCACTTCTCTGTCTCACTAATTTGTATTCCTTTTCCTACGTTTCCCAGCATCTCTTCCTGAAACCGCCTTGGCAGAATTCTTCCTAGAGACCTTGACCTTCAGTGTCTCTTCCTGGTCCTTCCACACAGGCCTCGGAGAGAAATTCTGAACACTCAGCTGTGATCTGTACCCTTCCGCAGCCCTATATGCTCAAGATAAGGGCACGCAGAGCCCCTGGCAGCACGGCACCACTGCTGCCATGCCCTCCTCATGCTGCGTCTGTGCCTGTTTTCCCACCAGACTGGGAGCCCCTTGAGAGCAGGGCAAGATAAAAACCACCTCGACACTCCCAGCACAGCCCAGCACAAGGCCTCAGGGGAGTCCTCAGGAAGTACTTGCTGAGCAACTATGGAAGGGAAGCCCACTGAGCACTGTCCCCTCTGCCTTCTCAGTGAACTTCAAACTCATCCCCTCCTCTCCACCCCCCAGTCCTTGCCCCAGCTCAACTATCATCCTCTCTCACCATCCTTAGAATAAAGCCTCAATCTCTCTGCCTGGAACTCAGGCACCTTTTTCTCTTTTGTTCTGAGACAGGGTCTCACTCTGTTGCTCAGGCTGGAGTGTAGTGCCACAATCCTAGCTCACTGCAGCCTCGAACTCTTGGATTCAAGTGATCCTCCTCCCTCAGCCTCCCGAGTAGCTGTGACCCCAGGTGTGCTCCACCACGCCCGGCTATTTTTTTTTTTTTAAATGTTTTGTAGAGACAGGGTTTTGCCATGTTGCCCAGGCTGGTCTCAAACTCCTGGGCTCAAGTGATACTCCAGCCTCAGCCTCCCAAAGTGCTGGGATTTTGGCATGAGCCACCGTACCCGGCCACACTGGTACCTTTACACTCTGGCTTGTGGCTACTTTCCCGGCCTCATCTCCCAGCCCCACCTTGTACATCAGCATCCCAGAACTATCAGCACTGACCCCAATACGTCATGCTTGTTCGCTTCCCCTGGTTTTTACCCAAGTTGTTCTTTGGCCCCACAAGCCTTTTTCATGCCCTTCATCACCCGGAAGATGCCCACTCATCTCTTTAAGACCCAGAATGGGCATCATATTTTCCACAAAGCCTCCTCCGAGTGCTGCCCACTCCTGGCAGTTGGTCACTCTGTCCACTGTGTGCCACGGTACCCACTGTGGTTCCCATTCCAGCACCAATTGCCCTGCCTGGATGGCGGTGTTTGATGACAATAAACTGCTTGAGAGCAGGGCTAGAGTCTGTTTCACCCCTGGGTACCTGGATCCTAACACTTCCCAGTACCTTAGCAGATGGCCAAAAATGGCAACGGGCGAGTGGCTGAATGAATGAGTGACAGACACATGAGTCTGTAAGCCCCAGGGCTTCTCCTGCACACCAGACACCATGTCTATGCTTCACTATTTGTGTAATTATGTGCTTCCTCCCACAAGAGTGTGAGCTCCAAGGGCCAGTGCCCATGTTTTATGCTGTATTTCAGCATATCTCCACCTCTTACTCTTGCCTCCGAGTTCCTGTCTTCCCTTTGTACACCATTCACGTTAGGGTCCTGCTTAAACCCATTCCATGGCCCTCACCATCCCTAGAATAAAATCTAAACTCCTGGCCTATGAGTACCTGCACAATCTGGCCCCGTGTGCATCTCCAGCCTCACCTTGGTCCCCACTCACCTGCCTCACTACCCTTCAGCCCTCGCTGCAAGCTCCTTCCTGCCCCCGGGCCTTTGCAAGTGCTGCTCTGCCTGCCACACTCCACCCCAGCTCCGCCCTGCTGGCTTCTTCTCATCCTTTCACTGTCCACTGAAGTCTCTTCCTCACAACTGGGTTAGGCTCCGTTGATGGAGCATTTCATAGCATCTCATTTCTCCTATAGCCTAACTGTAATTTATTGTGTATGTACATGATCGATTAATGCCTGTCTCATGCACAAGATGTTTACTCTATGAGATGTCGGGACCCCTGGCTGTTTTCCTGCCTCCTGCACGCTGAGCACGGAGCACAATGCCTAGCTTTTTAAGGCGCACAAATAAATTGCCGGTAATGAATGAACGAGGAGGCCCTTTCTGTGCCTCGTTCGTGTCCCCTGCTCCAATGCCTTCTTATGTACCTGTGCCTGGTACACAGTAGGTGCTTAATAAGCCTTTGTGGAATAATGAATGAAAAACATGAATGAATGCCCGCGTCCAACCCTTCTTTCTGCCTTTCTGCGTCCCTTAGCTGTGTCTCTTTATATAGGGCATATATATAGTTTGTGGGTGTAACTATGTATTTGTGTATTATGGGCTCCTCTCCAGGAGTTGGGCTGGGCTGGGCTGGGAGTCCCTCCCTCCCCTCCCCGCGCCCCGCCACCCCATGCACACAGCAAAACGTGAAAAAGAAAACATCTCGAAACTGCAAAAAACACCATGGCCCTCCCCCCTCCCCATAGAGCCCACAAAAAAATAAAACACGACGCTCCCTCACAGCAGCCCCCTCCCTCCCCTGCCCCCTCCCTCGGGGTCCCTGCTTCGGAGGGGGAGGAGGGCGGGGAGGGTGGGCGGGGGGCGGGCCCAGCAGTCTCCAGCGCGCTCACGGGGGAAAGCGGGGGCGCCCCCGACCCCAGCAGCCTCGATGCACGCGCGCCCGCGCACGCGCCCCGGACACGCCCCTCGGCTCCCCCGCCGCGCCCTACACAGGCGTGGTTTTCCTGTTGAGCGTGTTGGTGTTGGAGGCGGCGGCCTCCTTGGCCAGGGTCCCGGGGGCGGGCGCAGCGGGCGCGGGTGGCGCGGGCGCGGGCGCGGCGGGCGGCCCGGTGACCGTGACCGTGACGCCGCCGCCCGCCTCCTTGGGGAAGGCGTTGTGCAGCGTGAGGAAGCCGGACGCCCCCCCGCGGTCCCGCTCGGCGCCCGCCCCGCCGCCGCCTCCGCCACCGCCCCCGGCCGCGCCGCCGAAAGCCCCCACGGCGCCGCCGCCGCCGCCGCCGGCCCCCGCCAGCCCCGCGGCCACGCTGCCCTTGGAGGGGTCGCGGCTGAGCGTGTACATGGAGATGTCCGTGGAGGCGAAGCCCGGGCCCCCGGGGCCGCCGGGAGACGCGTCCCGCGACGGCGACGGCTCGCTGGAGCGGGAGCTAGAGCGGGAGCGGCGGCGGTAGCGGAAGCGGTAACTGGGCAGACGGAGGATGGCCGAGGGGCCGCTCCCGCCACTGCCGCCCGCGCCCCCGCCGGCCTTGAGCAGGTCCGAGCGAGACTGGCAGTGCGCCTCGCGGCTGCGCTCGATGTAGATGTTGACGGCCAGCACGCCGATCACCTCGGCCAGGATGAACGACAGCCCGCCGAAGTAGAAGGACCAGCCGTACGAGTAGTGGTTTTTCTTCTCCTCGTCCCGCTTCGGGCCCGGCTCGCCGGCGTTGGCCGAGATGTACACGATCACGCCGATGATGTTGCTCAGGCCTGGGCGGGGACGGTCAGACGGGAGCCTCGAGGCCACCCCCGGCCCCTCCCCGGTCCCCGGCCCCGGCCCCTCTGCGCCAGCGGGCCTAGGCGCCACCCCCGGGCTAGACCCCCGAGTGGGCTAGACCCCCATCCTGGATCTGGCTGACCCAAGTCCTGCCGGAAGTGAACACAACTCCCCGCCCGATACTCTAGGCGCGGCCCTGCTGGTCTAAGCTCCAACCCAGAGGGCTCAGGCCCACTCCTAGCTAGCCCAGGCCTCATCTCCGCTGGTCTAACCCAGCCCCGGCTGACCTAAACTCCATCCCCCTGGTGGTGCAGGGCTGCCAATGGTCCAACTGCATCATGCGTGGTCCTGGCCCCGCAGGCTCAAGTACCCCCTCAGACAGTCTAAACTCCACCCCAAGGTGGTCCAGGCCCTGCCCTGAATGGTCCGGACATGGCCCTGGCTGGTCCAGGTCCTGCTCCCAGATAGCCCAGGGCCCACCTCTGCTGGTCTAACCCAGCCCTGACTGGTCTAAACTCCACCCCTAGGTGGTCTAGGACCCCAACTGGTCCAGGCAACACCCTAGATGGTCCTGGCCCTGGCTGGTTCAAGTCCCATCTCAGATGGTCTAAACCCCACCCCTAGGTGGTCCAGGCCCTGCCCTGAATGTACAAGACAGGGCCCTGGATGGTCCAGGTTCTGCCCCCGGATAACCCAAGCTCCACCTCTGCTGGTCTTATCCAGCCCTGGCCGGTCTAAACTCGGCCCTACGTGGTCTAAGACCCATCCCCACATGGTCTGGGCTGCCCCCACATGGCATAAACCCCACTCCTCTAGCTAAGGTCCCACCTCTGCTGGTCTAAACCCCAACCTCTCTGGTGGTAACGCCACCCCAAGTGGTCCAGGCCCCACCCCTAGGTGGCCTAAGCCCCACCCCTAGCTAGTCCAGGCCCTGCCCTGACTGGTCTAAAACCCACCTTTGATGAGTTTACAGTCCCTGCCTGGTTAGTCTAACTCCACCCTTAACGTTATAAACCTGGGTTCTTCCCAAGCCCCGTCCCTCTGTTCCTTTGAACTCTGTTAATGATGTCATCCTGCTGTGACCAGGCCCTGCCTATCACTTATCTAAACCCTCTCTTCGTCATATAATTCCTGGCGGAGCATCCATTCTAGGCCCTCCCCTGCTGGTCAAAAATTTGCCCTTAATAAAGCAGGCCCCGCCTTCTACTCTAGGCCCCACCTCCAGCTTACCAAACCCCGCCCCGTGCGGATCTTGGCCAGGGTCCTCCCCGGTCCCAGGTCCAGCTACTCCGGATTTTCAGGTCCTCCAAGCCCCACCCTTTGCAGATCTAGACCCACCCCCAAAGCACACCGTGCTCTTCAAATATGCAAAGCCCTCCCTCTTCTCTGTATTCTACTCCTCCAAAAAAGCTCTGCCCCCTGGAGTTTCCCAATGCTACTCATATGGGGTAGAAAGGGGGTCTTACCCCTTAATTACGTGCCTCTTAAGTGTTCCTGTCCTAGCTCTCTGCTCCTCTAGGCCCTAGCTCTTGAGACGGCCAATCCGAGGTACTGACTGGCTTTGGTCGGCCTCTTGCTTCAATCAGCCAAGTTGACTCTTTGTGTCCTTAAGGACATAACCCCTCCCCCTTTGGCTTTTCCAGGCATCACCCTGTCTTTTCTAGCCTCTCCTTCTCCAAATGGTAACGGGCAAGGGCCGATTCAGTCTCCCTCGACCAGCCCCTTTAGTTTCCACTTCCCGGCCCTGGACGGTTTCCCAGGACCAGCCCCCTCTTGGATCCACCAAGGTCTCCAAAGACCAGCCCCTTAAAACAGGCTCCTCATCCGCGCCCAGATCACTTTCTACCTCTCCTGGGCCCGCCCTCCAAGGCCCAGCCCCGCCTCTCTATCCTCAAGAGCCCAGTTGTGTCTCAAGATCCCACCCCCTCCCCCAGCTCCTCCCCTTCCGTCTCCAGGACGGCGGGCTAAGGATCCTAAGCGCTCGGCGTCTTACGCGCTAGACACCTGTCTCTGCCGCTTCACTCCTCCGAAGGCGAAGCGAAGACTACACCCACCTTACCCAGCGGGTGGCGATGGAGCCTGGGGACCGCCTAGGAAGGCTCCGGACCCCCGGGGGTGCTCGGGGCAAGGTGGCTTTGCAGACACACACACGCGCACATGCACTCACACACACGCGCGCGCGCACACACGCACTCGCGCGCGCAGGTGGGCCGCCCCGGTCGCCCCCTCCCTCTGCCTCTCACCTGCTGCCACGAACAGGATCCCTGCGCCCAGAATGATGTTTCTCTTGGACTTGTAGACGCGGGAGGCCGCCACGCACACGCCCCCAAGCAGCAGCAGGATGGCGCTAAGGATGGGGAAGATGCTGGAGGCCCGGACAACTCCTGCGGGGGAGGAAGGAAAGGAAAAGAAGGGAGAGCGAGGGCGGTCAGACGCGGCCCCCTGCGCCCCCCTCCCGGCCCCCCATCTCGCGGCGCCTCCCACCAGTTATGTGATTCTTCCTCTCCGGCTGTGTTCTGGTTTATTTTACTGTTGCCTCATTCTCTCTCCTGTTTTTAAAATTTCTCTGTTTCTCGGTCTGATTCCCTCTCCCTCTTTTTCTTTGTCCTTTTCTTTCTTCCTCGGACTATTTTTCTCTCTCCCGGAATATCTTTTCCCCTCTTTGTTTATCGAAATCACTCTCCCTGTTTTTCTCCCAACTTCTCCATGGATCCTCTCCCTTTCTCTCTTTCTCATCCCTCCCTTCCTCTCGTCTGCGAATTTCTTTCTCCATATCCCGCAAATCACTTACTACCTCTCTCCACACCCCTCCCATTTTCTGCCTCGCTTCATCTGAGTTTCTCTCTCTCTCTCTCAACATTTCTTCCTCCCTCCTCCTCCTCCCTTTTTTGCCAGGCTGAATCTACTTCTGAGTTTCTCTTCCCTTCTTCTCCTCCCGCCCCACCCCCCTCGTTTTATTGCCTGGCTTCATCTATCTTTCTGAGTCTGTCTCCCCTCTCTCCTCTTATCTTCTGGGCCTCATATGTCTTCATAGGTTTCCCCCCAACACCCCGGTTTTTCTGCCTGGCCTCATCTGTCTTCCTAGTCCCCGCCCCCAACTTTTTCTGTCTGGCTTCGCCTATCTTCCTAGGTCTCTCCCCCATCATTTTTTTCTGCCTGACCTCATCTGTCTTCCTAGGTCTCTCCCCACTTCACCCCGCCCCTTTTTTCGCCTGGCCTCCTCTGGCCTCCTGGATCTCTCCCCTCCTTTAATGCCTGGCTTCCTCAATCTTCCAGGTTTCTTTTTCTCTCCACTCCCTTCCTCTCCCTTACTCCTTCCCTCCCTCCCCACCCGCTTTTAGGCCTGACTTCATCTATCTGAGTCTTTCTCTTTTCCTCCCTCCCTTCTTCCCCTTCTCTCTCTCCCCTCCTCCCGCTCCGCCCCCCTTGTCTCTTTCTCTGCGGTCCTTTCTTTCCACCCACTCTTAAAACCCCAGGCAACCAGATTTTGCGATTTCGGAGCCTGGCTGAGGCCGCAGCCAATCATCATTTAGGATTTGCCGCGTTCTCGGGGTAGCTACCAATGGAAACACAGGCTTTCCCAACCGGCTCCAGGGAGTGGCCCGTCCCCACCGCAGATTGCCCCATAGCCCTGCGGCGCGGTGGCCAATCCCAGCCCGGGATTCCACAACCAGTCACGGCGCAGAGTCGCCGCGAGGGCCAGAGAGAGCAAGGCGGCCAATGAGCGCTCAGGATCCTCCCTCAGCCCGCCCCAAGGTGAGAGGAGGGGGCGGGAGCGAGATCACTCAGCCAATCGGGGACCAGAGGATCTCACTATCTGGACTCGGATTGGCTGGGAGGCTAACCTCGGCGTGTCGATCCAAGTGCCTTCTCCCGGCGCCCACCCCGACGCCCTCAGGCCCCGCGATTTGACCCACTCCCCACTTCTGTCCCGGACCCCCACGTACGGAGTAGATACTCCGCGCTGTCGTGGTCGTAGTCCGTGTCCTCCGGGAAATGATTGATCTTCACGCAGACGCCTCTTTTCAACCCTGGAGGAGCGGGGAGGGCAGTGGTGGGGGTGGATACTTCAGGGTTGGGGGCGGGGCAACCCCACTGACAACCGACCCTGCCCTTCCCCAGATCCCTTCTGTCTCTGGGCAGCTTGGGAGACAGCAAGTCCCGGCTCCTGAGCCCGACTCGTGATATGGGACAAACTTGGAACTTCTGTGGTCTCCGTTTCCCCGCCTGTTAAAGAAAAGAAGAAAAGCAAGAAAAAAACCCAAAGTCTAACATCCAGCACTCACTGCAAGGCCATGAGACCTTGGCCCTGTAAGCTGGGCTAAGTTGCTCTAGCACTCTGGATTTCCTGCTCCCACCTCTATAAGAAAGAGGGTGTTGTTGGCTTCAATAATAGCAGGGCGCTTCCCACCTCTCAATTGGTTGAAAAGTCTGGAAATGCGTGGGGGAAAAAAAAAAAGAAGGAAAGGGATGCAGAAGCCGGTGAGGACTACATTTCCCATGAGACCCCCTGAAGTCTGGAGTCCAGTTGTGAGAAGAGCAGTCGCAGTGGATCATGGGAGTTGTAGTCTCCAGTCCTGTAGGGGTGGAGGGGAGAGAGGGAGAGCGCTTCCAGTCTCTTTCTGCAGGGAACCTGGAACCTTCTGGAGAGAGATGGAGTGGTTGAAGCAAGCAGAGGTGTGTGAGGGGTGGAGTATGCCTCTAGGGGTCATGCATCCTCATCTCCTTCCCCTCCTAAGATGCTCATCCTCAGCTATTTTCTCATCCTTTGGGAACAGTTAATGTTTTACTACCTCTAGCACATAGCTGAAGAAAAAATTAAAAATATAAATATAAATAATGTAGTTTCCTCAGCTGCTCAGTTCTGTCCAGTTCTGCAGGCCTGTGCCCATGCTGTGGAACATTTCGCTCACATTCTTTGCTGATGTAGTACTTTACCTGCAGCGGGCAGCTCAGGAGGCACCTTCTTGAGGAAGCTTTCCCTAGATACAGACACATATGCACACTCATTCCTCCCACCAAACTTGGGTCAGTTTCCTGCTCTGAGGTGCCCCGTAGGCCATGCATTTGTTGATAGATGATCTTCTTCGTCCTCGGCAAGCTGGGAGTTCCTGGAGGGGATAGGGCATGGGAGTCCAATTCCTCTGTGTGTCCCAGCATTTCTTGGCACTAGGCCTGGAACACGGCAGACCTCAAGAAATGAGGGTTGAGGCCGGGCACAGTGACTCACACCTGTAATTCCTGCACTTTGGGAGGCCAAGGCGGGTGGATCACTTGAGGTCGCGAGTTCAAGACCAGCCTGGCCAACATGGTGAAAACCTGTCTCTACTAAAAATATAAAAATTAGCTGGGTTTGTTGGCGGGTGCCTGTAATCGCAGCTACTGGGGAGGCTGAGGCAGGAGAATTGCTTGAACTCAGGAGGTGGAGGTTGCAGTGAGCCAAGGCCGTGCCATTACACTCCAGCCTGGGTGACAGAGTAAGACTCTGTCTCAAAAGAAAAAAAAAAAGTGAAAGAAATGAGGGTTGAATGAAGAATGAATGAATGAATGAATGAATATAAGCATAGCAGAAGGTGAGATCAGAGGCAGACCATGACCAGCAAAGGAAAGTAGGGGAAAGAATAGGGACAGAGGAGGAACTGGGAAGAATTAATATAAGGGAGTGAGTAATACTGCCAAGAGCTAATCTGCGTTGGGTGCTTCCTAGGTGGGCCAACTCATCTGATGCTCCTAAGAGTCCTGTGAAATAGATCATGTGGTTTGTGTCCTGCAGTGGCCAAATGTTAGGTATTGGAGTGTCTCCATCTTTTTCATTTTTTATTTTTTATTTTTTGAGACAGGGTCTCCCTCTCTTGCCCAAGTTTGGAGTGCAGTGGCACAATCTCAGCTCACTGCAACCTCTGCCTCCTGGACTCAAGTGATCCTCCTGCCTCAGCCTCCTGAGTAGCTGGGACTACAGGCTTGCGCCACCATGCCCAGGTAATTCTTGCATTTTTTGTAGAGACGGAGTTTCTCCATGTTGCCCATTTTGCCCAGGCTGGTCTTGAACTCCTGATTTCAAGTGATCTGCCTGCCTCAGCCTCCAAAAGTGCTGGGACTACAGGCGTGAGCCACTGCGCTGGCCTCCACCACTTCCTTATTCTGTGTCCTTGCTGGTGTTACATAGGCCAACTTGCTTCAGTTTCCCCAGCTATAAAATGAAGAGAACAGGACCTACCTCATGGGACTGATATGAGGGATTGTGTCTAGGTGGAGATTTAGCACTTTGCCTTGAACACAATTAAGTGCTCAGTTGATAGCAGCTGATATATGGCACCCATTACCCAAACGTGGAAACTGAGGCACAGAAAGGGGTGATCATTTCACAGCTGATGGTGGCAACAAAAGTCAAACACACATCACGTATGTGAGCATCTGGGCTGTTCAACACTATTACCAGCATCTAGAACAGCGCCTAGTGCATACTGAGTGCTTAATAAGTATTTTTAATGAAAGAATGATTGAATGGGCCAGGTGTGGTGGCTCACATCTATAATCCTGGCAATTTGGGAGACCAAGGTGGGTGGATCACCTGAGGTCAGGAGTTTGAGACCAGCCTGGCCAACATGCTAAAACTCCATCACTACTAAAAATACAAAAGTTAGCTGGTTGTGGTGGCATATGCTTGTAGTCCCAGCTACTTGGGAGGCTGAGGCAGGGGAATTGCTTGAATCTGGGAGGCAGAGGTTGCAGTGAGCTGAGATCTTGCCATTGCATTCCAGCCTGGGTGAGAGAGCGAGACTCAGTCTCAAAAAAGAAAAAAAAAGAATGATTGAATGGGTCCACAAGGCCAGGCGCGGTGGCTCAAACCTGTAATCCCAGCACTTTGGGAAGCTGAGACAGGCGGATCACAAGGTCAAGAGATCGAGACCATCCTGGCCAACATGGTGAAACCCCGTCTCTACTAAAAACACAAAAATTAGCTGGGCATGGTGGTGTGCGCCTGTAGTCCCAGCTACTCGGGAGGCTGAGGCAGGAGAATGGTTTGAACCCGGGAGCAGAGGTTGCAGTGAGCCAAGATCACACCACTGCACTCCAGCCTGGCGACAGAGCAAGACTCCATCTCTAAATAAATAAATAAATAAATAAATAAATAAACAAACAAACAAAAAATGGGCCAGGCACGGTAGCTCACGTCTGTAATCCCAGCACTTTTGGAGACCAAGGCAGGTGGATCATGAGGTCAAGAGATCGAGACCATCCTGGCCAACATGGTGAAATCCTGTCTCTACTAAAAATACAAAAATTAGCTGGGCATGATGGTATATGCCTGTAGTCCCAGCTACTTGGGAGGCTGAGGCAGGAGAATCGCTTGAACCCAGGAGGTAGAGGTTGCAGTGAGCCGAGATCGTGTCACTGCACTCCAGCCTGGGTGACAGAGCGAGACTCTGTCTCAAAAATAAATAAATAAAATAAATAAATAACACCTGTTGTGAAGGATGTGGAGAAATTCGAACCCTTGTGCACTGCTGGTAGAAATGTAAAATGGTACAGTGGCTATGGAAAACACTATCAAGGTTCCTCAAAAACTAAAAATAGAATCATCATATGATCCAGCAATGTCAGTACTGGGGATAGACCCAAAAGAATTAAAAGCAGGGACTCAAATAGATATTCATACACTCGTGTTCATAGTAGCATCGTTCACAATAGCCAAAACGTGGAAACACCCCAGTGCCCGTTGACAGATGAATGGAGGAACATGTGCTCTATACATACAATGGAATATTATTCAGCCTTTAAAAGGAAGCCAATTGTGATACATGCTATAAACATAGATAAACCGTGAAGACATTATACTCAGTGAAATAAGCCAGTAACAAAAAGACAAATACTGTACCATTCCACTTATATGAAATACCTGGAATAATCAAATTCATAGAGACAAAGTATCATGGTAGTTGCCAGGGCTGGAGGGTGGGAGGATGTGGAGTTATTTAACGGGTACTGAGTTTCCATTTTGCAAGATGAAAAGAGTTCTGGAGATTGGTTGCACAACAATGTGGGTGCACTTACCACTACTGAAATGCATACTTAAAATGATGAAAATGGTAAATTTATGTTATATATAATTTACTACAATTTTCAAAATGAATGAATGAATGAATGAATGAGTGAGTGAATGAATATACAACTCCCACATACAAACTCTTACCCATCAGCACCTCCACCGTGGTGTGGTAGGTAAGATGACAAGCTCAATGTTCCTTCCTCCCTCCCTCCCTCCCTCCCTTTCTCTCTCTCTCTTTTCTCTCTCTCTCTCTCTTCTCTCTCTCTCTCTTTTATTTTTTTTGAGACGGAGTCTCGCTCTGTCGCCCAGGCTGGATGGAGTGCAGTGGCCGGATCTCAGCTCACTGCAAGCTCCGCCTCCTGGGTTCACGCCATTCTCCTGCCTCAGCCTTCCGAGTAGCTGGGATTATAGGCACCCGCCACCATGCCCAGCTAAATTTTTGTATGTTTAGTAGAGACGGGGTTTCACCATGTTGGCCAGTTTGGTCTCGAACTCCTGGCCTCAGGTGATCCACCCACTTCAGCTTCCCAAAGTGCTGGGATTACAGGTGTGAGCCACCGCGCCTGGCCTGGTTCCTCCTTTCTTGAATGGGATCATAGTAATTCTCTCAAAACATTCGTGACGATTAAATGAGACTGAACATGTAAACCACATGGCACACTGAATCGCTGAACAGGTTAGTGGTGACAGTAATAATAACTAGCTCTGACTTAGCACTAACCATGCACTAGGTACTGCTCCAAGCATTTGACAGGTGGTTAATAACTTGCTCAGTCCCTCGGACAAACCCTCGGAGGTAGGCGGCGACAGCATCCTTGCTTTACAAATGAGGAAACGGAGGCATAGGGAGTTGAAGAAGTTCCCCAAAGTCCCGTTGCGGGTGAGTGAGGGGTTTCACCGGGTTAGCCAGGATGGTCTCGATCTCCTGACCTCGTGATCCGCCCGTCTCGGCCTCCCAAAGTGCTGGGATTACAGGCTTGA